AAACTTTTTTAGGTAAAACTCACCCTTGTGAGAAACCCTAGAAAGAAAAAAAAGAGTGCAGCCAGCTCTTAATGAGCCATTATTCAAATGATAGACAAGTCTTTCACAGTCACACTCACCCTTTCACAGTCACAGATCACGGACGGCTGATCTCCAGCACCGTTCCTCAACAGTGCGCGCAGCCGCCGTGCCCGGTCTATGCCACAGGAAGAGGACGACGAGGCATCGGCAACCGACCTGCACGGAGGAGAAAAACAGAGAGTCAGAGAGATAGAGGTACAGATCCAAAGTCAGTCGTTCAGTGGAAGAGACACAAGAAGTGGAGAAGACAGATCTAGGGTTAGGGTTAGGGTTAGGGTTAGTGGAGTACTTGCACAACCGGAGCCCGGTGCCGGAGATGACGAAGGCCACCCAGAGGAGAGAGACCGATTAGAAACGACGGCGAACGGCGGAGGAGGGACGGACGGGAACACAGTCACGAACTCACATAGTTCACCGAGAGCGAGAGAGGAGAGATGGAGAAGGGAGGAGAGTGGAGACAGGATCAGATAGGCGGATCGAGGTCACCGGAGTCAGGGACGACGGACGAGATCAGTAGATCACGAGAGAGAGCTCAGATTTGCCAGATCGTGGATGCGGCCGATCGAGAGAGAGAGAGAGAGAGAGAGAGAGAGCAGAGATTGGGCCGCGGCGAGCCGGCGAGCGAGTGGGGATTAGGTTTAGGGTTGGGAGCGATCATGGAGCCGCCGCCGTGAGGCGATCAAGGAAGGGGACAAGAGCTGCTTGCCCAGCGGCGAGTGGGGATTAGGGTTAGGGTTGAGAGCGGAGCGGAGCGGGCGAGGGGCGAGGCGACTGGACTGCGGAGCGGGCGAGGCGAGGCGACTGGGCGACAGGGACGTGCCGCTTATATATTCCGGCGCGGGGGGGGCGGGGGCCGGCCGTTCTATAGCAGGTCGTGCCGTGCCGTCCAACGTGCCTGGGTAAGGCCCAGGCACGGCCTGCCCATCTGGGCCAGGCCCGCGGGCCTTAGGGCCGAGCCAAAAAATGGGCCTTGGGCCGGGCCAACGGGCTCGGGCTGCATGGCCAACTATGATGGCCGCGCGCGGGCGCGCGGGTAAACAACGCCTGAATGAGTGACCACCAGTCCGTAACTCAGTTTGATCCGTCCGGCCGCGCTTGACCAACGCCGTGCTAGCCGCCACTGCCACCACCGGAGAGCTCTGCAGGGAATGCTCCCGCCGCCGGCCGGCGCCCGTGTCTCCACCGCGGGGAGCCCCGGAGCAGTACTAGGATGATACCAGACACAGTCGTCGCCTATGATCGAGAGCTAGCTCACTCGTGATTTGTCGTGTTCTACCACAGCTTCGCCCTACCTCTGCTGTCTCGGTGGCTGCACCGTATGTTCGCATCCGCCGAAGACTTGTCAACCGCTACGGTACAAAGCCGCGCGCGTGCTTACCTTATACTCCCGGTCGAGTCCCGAGTCCCGACAGCAGCCTGCCCGTCTGTCCCTAGTCCCTGCACGTCGTACTCTATATATGCGGCAGAGATATTGCAGCAAACATGCAAACTAACTCGGATTCAAAATTTAAATTTAAAATTCACAGCACTATTCAAATTCAGTATTCACTATTTAAATTCGCGGCACTCTTCAAAATACTCGCTACTATTCAAATTCGGAATATGAATAGTGCGCGAGCCACTACTGGAGACGGGCTCTTTGCCGAGTGCCTGTTGCACTCGGCAAAGCCTTTGCTGAGTGCAACACTCGGCAAAGAGCCTCCGTCGAATCCTCTTCCGATAAAGGCTGCTTTGCCGAGTGCTAAATTTCGGGCACTCGGCAAAGATTTGACCGAGTGCCGTACGGGCACTCGGCAAAGATTTGACGCCGTCTAATTTTTTTTTTAAAAAAAACTCTTTGCCGAGTGCCACAGCTCCGGCACTCGGCAAAGAAATCTGTTTTTTTTAACCTCTTTGCCGAGTGCCACAGCACCGGCACTTGGTAAAGGGTGTTTTTTATTTTTTTTTTAAATTTTCTTTGCCGAGTGCAATGACCATTGCACTCGGAAAGCACTCGGCAAAGCCACCTCTAATTTTTTGTTTTTTTGTTTTTTGCTTTTCCATTTAAACAACAATGCATATATATATATATAATAGAAACCACAATTCAACAGCAATAAATTACAAACCACATTTATATATTACAAACGACCAAATTTTTTCGAAATCCACAATTTATTACAAACCACAAATTCATAGTCCACAAGTTCACAAGTTCGATACATAGAAACTACTCCGCAAGCGGCTCACGGCGACTGCGCCCCAGCGTGCGATCTTGGTGACGGTCCGGGTGCAGATGGCCCGACTTACGATGCCGGCGACCCTCCGACCTGGTTCGACGCCGCCCCCGATGTCCGCTGCACAACAATGAAGATATTGCACGTGAGTAACAAGATAAAAATGTAAGGAGTTTAAAGAAAAGTTGAAAATTTCGGCAGCACCTCCCCTACACGGGGACGTTTCCAAAACCTGCAAGAAAAACGTCGGCACGAAGGCCGACAACGACATTTCCGGCACGAAGGCCGACACATCAACTAACCCGGCACGAAGGCCCACACATCAACAAATCCAGCACGAATGCCATCTCTAGGTTTGACACTAAGCATGAGCACATAAAGTAAAACATACTCACCGAGTAGACTGTGGTAAGGAAGAGAGCTCAATTATACCTAGGGTGGCGGTGGAGACAGGCTAGCGGCGCAGTGGCGAGTCGGTGCAGTGGCGAGTCGGCGCTGTGCAGGCAGGACCACAACGCCGACGAAGACGATCAGGGTCGCCGAGGTGCTCCGGGTCCCCTCCGACAGGTCCTTCTCTGCAAAAGAAGAAAAACATCACTAAAAGTTGAAAATTTCGGCAGAACCTCCCCTGCACGGGGAGGTTTCCAAAACCTTCAAGAAAAACCGTCGGCACGATGGCCGACATCCACATTTGGGGCACGATGGCCAACACAACCACAAACCCGGCACGAAGGCCGTCAACGACATAAACGGCGCGATGGCCGACAACCCTGTGGCTTTACCTTCTCCTCCGGCGAGGGCGTGGACGAACGGAGTGGACGACGTGGACGAATGGAGTGGACGAACGTGGACGAACGTTCGTCCCCTCCACCTCGGCTTCCTCCCCCTCTCCCCTTCTCCTCCTCCTTCTTCTTCCTTTTTCTTCTCCTTCTTCCTCCTCCTTTTTCTTCCTTCTTCTTCCATCTTCTTCTCCTTCTTCCTCCTCCTTTTTCTTCCTTCTTCTTCCATCTTCTTCCTTCTTCCTCCTCCTTTTTCTTCCTTCTTCTTCCTTTTTCTTCCTCCTTCTTCTTCCTCCTTCCTCTTCCTGCTACCTTCTTCCTCCTTCCTCCAGGGCCATGGCACAAGGCTCGCCTGGGCCACGCTTTGGGCCGGCCGGGCAAAGGGCGGGCACGGCATGCCGGGCGCCGAGCAGCCGGGGCGGCCCGGAACTGGTGGCCGGAGGCCGACCGGGTGGGGGGCGGCGCGAGCGGGCCGCGCGCGACGCTGGCGCCCGGATCCGGTGGCCGGCTGGCAGCGGGGGGGGGGGCGCCATGCGGCGTGGCGGGCTGGGCTGGCACGCCGGCCGCTGCTGGGTTCACGGGGCGATCGGGGCCGGGGTGGAGCGGGGCGGGCGCAGGGCGAGCACGGCGGCGGGCGCGGGGGTGTGCGTGCGTGAGTGTGTTGTGTGGAGTAAGTGAATGTGTGGGCCGGCCCACACATTTAGATAGGGTTTCCCCCTTTGCCGAGTGCTGGGCCGGGCCGGTACTTGGCAAAGGCTTTTGTTTTTTTTAAAAAAATTCTTTGCCGAGTGCCACTTCCTGGCACTCGGCAAAGGCCCTCTTTGCCGAGTGTCAGGGCCGGCACTCGGCAAAAAAAATTTTTGATTTTTTTCCCCATTATTTTTTTGCAGCCTTAATATATTATTTAAAACACCATGTTCAAATTTGGCACAATTTTGACTTTTTTTTGTTATATTTCGTTAGTTTTTTTTGTTTCGTTGAATTTTATGGAATATTTTAAATTTGAACTGCAGGTGCATGGAATAATCGAATTTGGTCATTCAAAAAATGATATTCATGATATTTGGTGTATGTTGAGGCCGTATCCAGGAACTCACATGAAATTTCGAGCATCTTGTTGACGTAACATAACGAGGTACCTGCGGGAAAAGTGTATTTAAATTATATAAAATACGAACGAAGTCCAAAATGACGAAACTTGTCGGGGCGTCGTGTTATCGTATGTAGAGTCTATGGTAAAAAATTGAGAAGGTTTCAAGCAAGTTGCGAGGTCGGATGCCTAAATCCCAGACATCTCCACATGGGTCAAAAAAAAAATATATTTTGCCGAGTGCCGGCCCCGGCACTCAGCAAAGAGGTCCTTTGCCGAGTGCCAGGAAGTGGCACTAGGGCCGGCACTCGGCAAAGAATTTTTTTTTAAAAAATTAACAGCGTGGGCGGGCTCGGCCGTCAAGTGCCATTTTGTTTTTGCCGAGTGCCACTCTTTCCCGAGTGTTGCACTCGGCAAAGAGGGCTTTTGCCGAATGCCGCCTTTTGCCGAGTGCCGGGCACTCTGTGGCACTCGGCAAAGCCACTATTTACCGAGTGCTAGACTTGGCCGAGTGCCACCCGGTCCGGCACTCGGCAAAGAGTGGCTTCGCCGAGTGCCCGATTTTTGGCACTCGGCAAAGCTGACGGCACTCGGTAAATCACCCGGGAGTGGCTCAGGCACCCAAACTCTTCACTATTTAAGGCACTGGCTTTTGAATTTATAGTGGGTGGATAGTGGATGCAGGATACGTGTGTGATTAGTATGTGCGGGATTAGTGAATATGCGTATATACAGAGAGAGAGAGAGAGACTACAGACAGAGAAGCGCATCAGCAGCAGCAACAAGTGCATATATACGTGCTTAAACTAGGATCGTCGTCGTCTGCATATTGAGATGATGAACAACCCAGATGCGGCTGCTGGTCCGTGGTGGTGGTGCTGCGACGACGACAACGCCGGTGAGGCCACTGCCGCCGCCGCCGTGCCCACCACGGGCGAATCCGGCAGCTTCTTCGCCGACGTGGTCGCGGACTACTCCACGTACGTGACCTATGATTTGATGTGCACTGAGTATCTAGCTAGCTAGAGTCTAGACATTAAGTCGTTCACGGTGCCTGGCAATTAATGTAAAAACTCGCAAATTTGTTTCCTGATATTTGATGGAGCAGCTGGAAGGAAATTGATCAAGTAAAAATTTCAATGGTCGTCTAAACAGGATATACAATGATATATAGTGTTTCCGATGATGCCCGATCGATGTATTGCTTCTTGCATCTTGCGTCTACGATATGCTTGCATATATAGTCATTCTATCTATTGCAAGAACTACATCTTGCGTTGCGTCTCAACAGCAGGACGGCCCGACTATATATTTCGTTCGCTGATGACTACCATGCATGCAAATTACGTTTGCTCTACGTACGTGTACAGAGATGAACTCTTTGAGCTGGTGTGGGAGCAAGGAGGACAAGACTGCGGCGGCGCATCGGGGTCGATGCAGCCGGCGGTTTCCTGCCTCTGGTCGCCGAAGTTCAGCAGCAAGCCGCCCGATGTGCGGTTGGACCCACCGTCGGAGGACGAGATGGCGGCATGGCTCAGCGTCATTGTCAAAGGCGAGGAACTTGCCTGCAACGACGATGATGATGGCAGTCGCCGACCGACGACTGATGATGGTCGGGATGTAGCGCCGGCGAAGGGGGACGTCGTCGACGACGGCGATGGACAAGAAAGAAAAGATCCTAACGACGACATTGGAAGGGATGATGGGCAACAAGGTACGTACGTACGTGTATCTATATGGAAATACCAAGTTACTCTACCAACTATATACGTACTTGAGATTCCTAAAAAAAACTACATACTAACACCTAGGGGAGATATTTCCTGTGCCGCCGGCCGATGACGATGAAAATGCTCGGATCCTCACTCACTTTATTTGCTTCTCTAGAAAATGCTCCTAGCTGTTCATTGCATTGTTTAATCAGAATTGCAAAAGCCTGGTCAGTATATACTATATAGCTGCTAGCTAGATTCAGAGCTCCTTTTTGTCGAGGACATTCAGGGCGCGTTTAGATGGTGAATTTTTTTGGTTTTGGCTACTGTTGCATTTTCGTTTGTATTTAGCAATTAGTGTCTAATTATAGACTAATTAGGTTCAAAAGTTTCGTCTCGCGATTTCTCACCTAACTGTGTAATTAGTTTTTTTTTCGTCTACATTTAGTACTCCATGCATGTACCACAAGATTCGATGTGACACTTTGGGGTGAAGATTTTTGGGAACTAAACAGGCCTCATTGTCAGACTACTGCGGTTCAAATATCTCGACGTCATGATTGGAAGAGCTCCACGTCGCGAATAAGGACAAATACGTCCATGAGATACATCGGCATATCCTTTTATCTACGTTCATACAGGAGAGCTAAACAAAAAAAGGCAAATAATCTCTAGCCTTTGTTTTCCCAGATGCTACACAGATAAATAACACTGTTTTAAAATTTGTCCATAATTTTTTATACAACTTCTAATAGTTTTAGTTTGAATAACCATCCCTCATGATTAAAATCACTAACCGTTCAGGACGAAATGAATGAAATATTCATTGTTGATGAACTAACTTTTATTACAGTTAAAGTTGGGGATTGATCTGTGTAATCATGCATACCTCTTATTACTTACTCTTGAGGCTCATCAAGGTAGGAATCTAAAAACAACATCTAACTAATCTTGCTTATACATTTGTTTCCATAACTGGTTCATATGGGTAATTTGAATGTAGGTCTTTTAATTTGGTTATTACTTATTGAGTATACGTTTAATAATGTCCACCATGTGTAATTTTTGTATGCATATTTATTGGGTTATTCTGCACTCTTTTTCATAATGGCATATGTGTGAATTATATTTAGATTTACTGGTTATTTTAGGCTACTTTTTATAATTAATGACAAAGACAGGTATCACAGAGGTGGGTAATATAAGTTAGAAGCAAAGTAGATCTAATGCAATTACCAACAACTCTAAACTCCTGAGGGCTAAATTATTAAGGGTCCCAAAAAGCAGTATCTAATAAGACTCTTAAGTCTAAATAGTAGATTTTCTGAATTGGTCTGAATTGTGTGATTGTGGTCCCCAGTTTTTCTTGTATACAAGTAAGTTGATTTCAGAAGTCAATTTGCTTATGAGTCAAATTCATTTCTTGTTTTATTATTTCCTCATCGCCATGAATGAATAAAAGTACAAGTCAGTTCATCATTGCAATACGCTTACCTTCTTGTTTTGCCTTGGGCTCTGATATATAGGAGATGAGAAAGGCACTGGCAGGAGGATCTTCAAGAAGGTCTCACCACGGAGAAGCACACAACCTGACAGAGAAGGTATATATGACGCAAGCACGCACGCACGCAGCAACCACTTCCTCTTCCATGACACATTTTGAAGCCATTGATTTACAGCATTAGCCATGCACTGATCAGTTGCAGTATTTAATTAATTTAATTATGTGCTGAATGAATACGCTGACAGAGACGGAGGCACAAGATAAACGAGAGGCTCAAGATCCTGCAGCAGCTCGTCCCGGGATGCAGCAAGGTTCCAATTTTATATGCCCGGTCCCTTGTTTTCTTCTGGACAGATCAATACGGATTTTGCAACTGATGGGCATCTGGAAAAAAAATTGTAAACTCAAGAGTTTGTCCGTGGCAACGATGGCAGTACGTGCAGCGAAAAGCATATCTCATCGGGTCTATATTTAGACTTTTCAGCTCAGGGTTCCGAAACCGGGTGCGCCAACATCCATGGCGGATTGAGAGGAGTTCGCCTCTAGTAGTATTATCCAAAGAAATCAGTATGATGAGATCTTGTATTATTGTGGTTCTTTTCTGTATGATGAGATCTTGTTTTGGTCATTCTCCCCTCTTCAACGTGTGTCCTTGGTTCATATAAGCCTTAGGATCCATGGCAAGGGATTAGGACGAGTAGCATGCAAAGCATTATTCTCGCTGCCCCTTCAACTTTATCCCCAAGGCATGGCTACAGCTACACCAGATGTCCATATCCTACCACCACCCCATCTCCCATCTCCACCCGGGCGCCGTAGGATGTTATAGCCTTTTGTTTGGAGTGACACCTTAACATGTCTCTCTTACTGGATTATATTGTTGCATCCACTAAGGTAACTCACAAAATTACATGAGTTTTGGGTCGTGAAACTTTGCTTCCACTAGAAATCAGTCAACTAAATTCCTACCTTGATGACCCTCAAGAATTAGAGAACATTCCTTTTGACACTCTAAGATGACATGGTTCCTTGTTTGAACATGAGTTTTTTTTCCTCTCCTATATATGCAGGAAATGCTATGTACAAAAAGACCCAAGTGGTCGGACCTTTCCCGGACCCTGCGCAAGCAGGAGCTTCGTGCACTGGGGCTGCCCTTATATATGACACTATATATGTAGGTTTGCTTTAGGTGCCTAATTTGCCCCTCCAGTCTGTCCCTTTGGTGCCTTCCTTGAGATAAACGAGAGATGAAAGAAAATGGCCTTAAGGAGAGAGAGACAGAATGAATGCATAAGGAAGAGACTGAACTTGAAACAGGGTATTTAATTTTTTGCCATCGTTACTAATGGCGCTCCATCAAATGCTACTAGTTTTGGAATGACATACTCCGTACATATTTATCACTGGAGAGAGAGAAATTATACCTAACTTTATGCCATTTTTGCTGAAGTAACACGGCACATAGGCATGCTAATGTGGATGAGGATGTGAAAAGTCTCAAAAAAAATTGCTAAAAAGGTATGCAAAAAACAAAATCCACCATATCGTGCACAAGACATGAGGGCCGGGCAAAATGGTCCTATCTGGTGGTTGTTAACGGTGTTAGATGCCAAAGTAGTAATGGAAGTGTCATAGGCAGGCAAAACAAAACCAGATTTGTCGGATGAGACCTCACGTTAAGAACCTGCAAAATAATCAGGATACAGGTCAGTTTTTTTAAGAAACAGGAGGGCTCAAGAGCCCCTACTGAAATTTATTAAACACAACCAAGAGGGTTACAGAGAAGATACAATTTAGGCGAAAAAGAAGCAAAAGGAAGGGGAGAAATTCAGGAAACATAAAACGAAGCAAAGAAAAGCAGAGCTATTACACAACTTGCTCTAACCATAACTCTATTGAGGGAAAGTATTTCTTCTTGGCCCTCCACAGGAGGAGGCCGAAGGTATGCTTGAAAATTTGTGAGCAACGAAGACTGCTAGCAGGAATGCCTCTGAGAATATCATCGTTCCTGATTGCCCATATGCTCCAACTCATAACGATGATAATTTCCATAAAGAAGGGAACATTTAACTGCATTATGAAATCTTCAAAATTCTGGTAGGGGTTAAGGGGGTTGTTTACTGTCAGTCCAATCAAGCCCCAGCATTCTCGAGCCATTTCACAGTCAAGGAACAAAGTGCTCCACTGTCTCTTCAAGATTATGAGCACAGAGCACGCAATTGAAAGAAGCCAAATGAAAGTTTTTCCTTTTCAGAATATTACGCGTGCTAAGTCTGTCTTGAGAGAGCGGCCAGAAAAAAACCTTGTGGTTGTGCTGACAAGAAGACTTCCAAATCCATTTGAAGATTGGACGTGACCAACTCGATTCTGAAGGATGGCGATAAGCCCTCTTAGAAGAAAAGATGGAGGTTCCCCAAATATATATCCAGGTATCTGCACCATTCACCATCTGAAGGTTTTGGAGAAGATGTTCAATCTGCTGGAACTGATCAAAAGCCTCAACCATCAAAGGAAGATTAAAGAGAGAAGAGGCAATGGTGACAGCAACTGCAACTTTGAAAGAAATGTCTATTTTTTAACAAAAGAGTAGAGCTCAGAGAATGTCAGTTTAAGAGGTTGTCCCTGCCAGTAATCATCCCAGAGAAGGCTTGAGGAGCCATCTGCAACTGCTACTGAAGCCGTTCATTTAAACTTGTCCAAAAGTTTCAAAATATCTTTCTACCAAAAAGACCCCTTCTTGATATGATTCGGGAGTTTGCCATTTCTATAATATTTCTCCCAAATGAGATGCACCCAGGGGATATCAGCTTTGTTGAAAATTTTATGAAGATTTTTTAGCAGTAAGGCTTCATTTTGGGTCTTGAGGTCTAAAACTCCCATCCCACCATCTTCCTTTGGTCTTGTAACCATAGGCCAGGCTGCCTTAGCATTGATTCTGTTACTTTCCTCTGCTCCCCTCCACAAACAATGTTTTCTAAATTTATCCACTTGATCTCTTATGGAAACATGTAGATGAAAGGTGCTCATAAAGAAGGTTGGGAGGGAAGTAAAGACTGAATTTGTGATCTGCAGTTTTCCAGCTTGGGAGAGAAATAAAGAAGTGCATACCAGTCTTCTCTCACATCTAGAAACCAGGGGCATGAATTCTTCAACCTTTGGCTTGGTGAGCCCCAGAGGTAGCCCCAGGTAAGTGAAAGGGAGGCGGATACAAGTCAGTCCTCCAAGACTTTAAGACTTTTCACTTAACTTCTTTGAGTTAAGCGAAAGCTAGGGGGCTACATCCAAAGGGTGAACTGTTCACGCACGCAAGATACAGATCAAGAAAAAATGCCAAGATTCTCCAGATAATGATTCCATGAATCACGTGGAATCTCTGGGTCTACGGCCAGCGGATGCGTTGTCTGTGCACCCATGATGCCACAGAATACATACCTATGATTCGTGTTTTTGGTGATAAACATCAACTCAAAATCATCGTAGCCTACTTCTGTGATACATTTAAGATGATATTTAATACATACTTGACTACCATAGTCGTTTGTTGGTTTTTCTAAAAAATCAAATGCTTGCATCATTCATGCTAGCAAATATAGCTAGCCTATTAGTAGCAGGTCCCAACTAAGATGAGAAACCAATGTGTTGTGACATATTGTCATACAATCTTATATCGCTTAATAAAAGTTTAAAACAACTCAGAAAATAATTATAAAGTTTAGTTTGAAAATTTGGTTTCATTTTGGGACATTTCAGTTTCAAATAATTTCAAATGAATTCAAGAAAGGTTTCAGAAACTTCAAAGCGTCTAAGTCCGACTATATATTTTTGTTTCAATAATAATAATAATAATAATAATAATAATAATAATAATAATAATAATAATAATAATAATTTAGTTTGATGTATGTTTTAGAAAATGTATAAGTGTAATTTTGACTATACAACTATCGTCCAAGTTTGGTTTTGGCCATTAAACTCAAAACCAAGAATCTTGAACCATCCAACAATGTTGTTTATAGTGGCGATTCGGTGAATTTTCATGAGTGGTTTGGTGACGTGGCAGTAGACCTGAGCATTTTTTGGGCTGGGGCTGCAAAAAAGCCAGGTTATTTTGGGCCAAAAAAAGTCTCGCTCATGACCGTCCCACTGGGTAGGTCGGGCCTAATTTTTTGGGCCTGGCTCGGGACGGGTCTGGGCCTGGGCAGGCCGCCCGCGTATTTTACAGTGTAAAATAACAATATTTCGGGATGGTCTCGGACCAAGAAATTTTTTTATTCGCAGCAGGATCTTTGCCCAATCCCTGTACAGTAAGGTTCGTGGGCAGGCTAAAACCCATCGGACTCGGGCTGGGCCCACTGGCCGAGCTAAA